TAATAATAATATAATAACAACAATAATGGCATTTATTTACATCATTCTCTACAATACGCTTTAGGCTCTTTACAACTAATATTACAACACTCGCTATTATCCAGTTCAGATAGGAAAAAAACTTCAAAGTTATGATAATAATAAAAATAATTTCCATTATTATAGTGCATAGCCAAGCTCTACAGCATTTACACTTTTAAAATACTAATAACTACATTATGGAGTGAAGACCAACGGTCTTGATAAAATCGAGAATCCTGCCAGGATCAAAGATGGAGAACAAACTCTTCAACTTAAAACATCTAAACAAATATTTCCTTCTGGAGTCTCCAAAGTATTGGAAATTCTGTTAGGGTGAGTCTGATTGTAAAGTTGGCATCGCATCCAACACAAAATGGATTTTTCATCCCCCTGTAGGCCCACTAGATCCACAGACCCGGTTTGTTTGTTTTTTAATATTTTTTTAGGAAGAGTTTTAACACACTTGCAACACAATAAGGTCATATAAGTGCTGAAGAGTAAAAGTGTTACAAGAGAGTAACATACACAAAAAAGAAGGAGGATAGATAAGGAGGATAGATAAGGACGATAGATAAGGACGATAGATAAGGAGGATAGATGTCTGATAGGAAAGAAGGAGCAAACCACATCAGAGCAATCGCCAACCACCCATCCACTGACCCGTATATCCGACGGGACAGTTGCACTTGTACAGGTTCTGGTAGTTGTTCTGCGGCACGCACTGCGCCTGGTTGCGACACGGGTTGGGTCGGCACGGGTCCATCTTGACGTCGCAGTTCTTCCCCGAGTAGGGCTGCTCGCAGTGGCACTTGTAGCCGTTCACCAGGTCCACGCAGTTGCCATGGAGACAGGGGTTGGACGCGCACTCGTTGATGTTGATCTCGCAGTTGGTGCCTGTGGAGCGGAGGGAGATATACGGAGAGGTTTTGTTTTAGTTTTGGTGAGAGTTTTACGGCCCTTACAACACAAATAGGTCATGTACGTGCGGCATATAAGAGGTGTTACAAACGATTTTTAGTTTTAGCTGTGTGTGTGTGTGTGTGTGTGAGAGAGAGAGTGTGCGTGTGTGTATTTGTTGTGTGTGTGTGTGTGTG